TCTCTCCCTAAACTTTCAAGGTGCTGCCTTTCAAAAATGGGAGGCCACTGGCTTCCTCTATTGAGAATGAAAGCAAAATAGACAAATAAAAATCAAAATAGAGCATTTTTAAAACCCTCATAGATCTTAGAGTAAAAAGTAAAATGTTCTAAGTGTAAAATTAGATTTTACTCTAAAAATTAACAATCATAAAATAACTAATATTTAAAATTAAAAATGCTCCATGCCAATAAAATTAACAATGATTTGAGTGTTGAGGTGGTCTATTTTAACAACAAAATTTACAACATATATGTTTAAAAACTGATGAAAAGTAGATATTATATAAATTAAGAAAACTATCATCAAGAAATGTTTTTTTTTTGTGAGAATAAAACTAAATCAGTTTTCCTTAATTAGGTCCGGTAAAGGGACAAGAGGCGAGCAATTAATGGAAACATGGGCAAGATTGGAATCTCATCACTCTCCATCGATTAACATCTCTAACTCTAATCGTTGCCGATAATCCAACCAACATGGGATTAGAATTCAATTCATAAAATCACATTTAATTTGTTTAGGATTTAATAATGTGCTTACTCAGTTAAGAATAACTTATACGAAATCTATTATTAAATAAATAAAAATGGGCAAATTTTTGTTATTAAATTGTAATTCAAATACTTGAAAGAAAATTGTGTTGCCTCAGTGTTTCTACCCAGTTTTAATAAGATTGTCAGGATTGCTTCTGGTAAGGGATATCGTAGTTTCGACCAAAAATTGTAATCCACATATATTTTCAAAATTCTTAATTAAGAATGAAGTCAATAAATTTTTTTTTAATTAAATCGTTATAAATGATTGTATAGTGTATTTTTTTTTCTTTCAAATTTAATATGTTAATAAAGGGTGATGTACACTAGTTTTGCTGAAACTCAATTTTTGGGTGGGTTTTGATTTTGTCCAGGGCAATGAACCAGTTTCCGTGTGGGATGAAACTAAGCCCATAATGAGTATGGACCTGAAAAAATTAATATCTTTACACCATGCTTTTGTGGGTACCTTTTTGAATTAAGAATGTAAAAATTGAAATAAGGATTATTTTGTGCGGTTTATTGTGAAGCCAAGTTAATGCCATAGAAATTGGTTTTAAAAGTTTGATTGCTCAATACTTGAATGGTAGTTAGTCGCTCTGAATTTATTGCCCTTTCACTTTCATTAATCATCGGCATTATACACTCTATGTGTTATGTTCCGTTAATCAACTATTATGTTTGTTGTTTACTTGTTTATTATACATATCACTGGACAACTCAACATAACATGTCTCACAAGTTTATTATATTTGACATCTTACAACTTTAAATAAGAAACCACTTTCAACTTTAAAACAAATTAAGATTTTTACAAGTTTATTATACTTGATCATTATACATCAACATAAACTAACATACTATGAACTAGATTCAATCATCATCAACCTTCATGTAAGCAAGCAACATACAACAATACATTTCTTATATTCATTCAATCCAACTTATGCTCGATGCGATTCTCCCATGTTTGACATCAATGAAACAAAGAACCTTTGGATTAATCATGTCAAACATCAATCCTTCCATACCTAGTGACAATGAAATAGAGAGTCATTGCCTTACTCATGCTTGATGTCATTAAGATATAGAGCCTCTGATATGTTCATGCCAACACCCCTTATCCCACACCCAACATGACAAAGTCAGAGAGTCCCTAACTAACTCACACCTAGTGCTATTTATTTCGTGCCTTATGTTAGTGAGACAAAGAGCCTCTAACTTGCATCATGCTTGACATCATGAAATTGTGCTCAACATGAAGGTGATTTCCACACCCTTGAGATCCATATCTCTCAACCAAATTAACCAATATCTTAGGCCAATTCAACATGCAATTAGTAAATCAACATATAGACATGCAAAACAACTTAGAATAAAAAAGATATTCCACATGTAACAGTTACACGATCTAGGATCATCAGTTTTACTTCAAAACATTCACAACAACCAATAACCTAAGATAAAGATACTCCACTTCTCAATTCAATCAACACAACCACAATTGGGTGGAATCCAAACAATAACTAACACATACAACACATCAAGAATCAATTTATAAATTTCCCTTACCTCGAATCTTCCTAGAAAAAAAGGGAGATAAAGGAAAAACGGTGAAGAACAAGATTCTTGAACTCTCATTGTACGATAACTCTAGCATTTGATTCTCAACTTATTCTAAGCTTTGAATCAACTTCTACTACACCAACTATAAATTAAGGGAAGACAATAGATTTTTTGTTGGAATTGAATCAAAGATCGTACTCTATTGGTTCCAAAGCATCTAGGATTCTAGAGTTATGAACTTATGAAGTTTATTTTTCAGAATATGTCTCATATACCTTAACCCTCTTCGGACCAACTCTTACGCATTTAAGTTATATCTTCGATCTATAACTTAAGATTAGAGTTATCTCAATTCTAACTCCCACTCCATAAAGGTTAAAAACAGCAAAATAATATAAAATATTTTTTATCACATATATTACAAATATACATAATTGAAAAAAAATGATGTTAGAGTTATTGAATACAAAGTTAATGTATTTAATGCTTTCAAATAAAATATGTTCAACAATTTTTATTGTATTAATTAATAGGAGGTCATTATTTAATACAAAATATTAAATGTTAATAAATATATTAAAAATATCATGTCAAAAATTAAAAAAATCAATGTTATATTTTTATAATATTATATTAATATTGTACATTAAACCACTTTCAACTTTAAAACAAATTAAGATTTTTACAAGTTTATTATACTTGATCATTATACATCAACATAAACTAACATACTATGAACTAGATTCAATCATCATCAACCTTCATGTAAGCAAGCAACATACAACAATACATTTCTTATATTCATTCAATCCAACTTATGCTCGATGCGATTCTCCCATGTTTGACATCAATGAAACAAAGAACCTTTGGATTAATCATGTCAAACATCAATCCTTCCATACCTAGTGACAATGAAATAGAGAGTCATTGCCTTACTCATGCTTGATGTCATTAAGATATAGAGCCTCTGATATGTTCATGCCAACACCCCTTATCCCACACCCAACATGACAAAGTCAGAGAGTCCCTAACTAACTCACACCTAGTGCTATTTATTTCGTGCCTTATGTTAGTGAGACAAAGAGCCTCTAACTTGCATCATGCTTGACATCATGAAATTGTGCTCAACATGAAGGTGATTTCCACACCCTTGAGATCCATATCTCTCAACCAAATTAACCAATATCTTAGGCCAATTCAACATGCAATTAGTAAATCAACATATAGACATGCAAAACAACTTAGAATAAAAAAGATATTCCACATGTAACAGTTACACGATCTAGGATCATCAGTTTTACTTCAAAACATTCACAACAACCAATAACCTAAGATAAAGATACTCCACTTCTCAATTCAATCAACACAACCACAATTGGGTGGAATCCAAACAATAACTAACACATACAACACATCAAGAATCAATTTATAAATTTCCCTTACCTCGAATCTTCCTAGAAAAAAAGGGAGATAAAGGAAAAACGGTGAAGAACAAGATTCTTGAACTCTCATTGTACGATAACTCTAGCATTTGATTCTCAACTTATTCTAAGCTTTGAATCAACTTCTACTACACCAACTATAAATTAAGGGAAGACAATAGATTTTTTGTTGGAATTGAATCAAAGATCGTACTCTATTGGTTCCAAAGCATCTAGGATTCTAGAGTTATGAACTTATGAAGTTTATTTTTCAGAATATGTCTCATATACCTTAACCCTCTTCGGACCAACTCTTACGCATTTAAGTTATATCTTCGATCTATAACTTAAGATTAGAGTTATCTCAATTCTAACTCCCACTCCATAAAGGTTAAAAACAGCAAAATAATATAAAATATTTTTTATCACATATATTACAAATATACATAATTGAAAAAAAATGATGTTAGAGTTATTGAATACAAAGTTAATGTATTTAATGCTTTCAAATAAAATATGTTCAACAATTTTTATTGTATTAATTAATAGGAGGTCATTATTTAATACAAAATATTAAATGTTAATAAATATATTAAAAATATCATGTCAAAAATTAAAAAAATCAATGTTATATTTTTATAATATTATATTAATATTGTACATTAAAATTCTAATATTTTCTTGTTTATAAATTTATCTTTGTTGTTGAATTACGATAATTATATTATTATAGAAGTAAAATAATATTAAGTAATGGCGAATTGAATATCTTTGTGTCATGCTAAAAATATAATGTTTTGTATACTTTATTATTAACATCTTAAATGTATCATTATAAGTATAACTCATTTTAAATCGATCATCATAAATTATTAAAAAATGGTTGAAATTATTTTAAGGATTAACTTTCTAAAAGTTACTAATTTTTTCTTGATAAACTAAGTTTACAAATAATTTTTTCATATATTAATTGATGAAAATAAATGATAAGATTAAAATAAATTAAAATTTAATATCAATGTTATAACATGGATCGATGAACGTTTATATATTGTAGCTTTTTCTTATGAATTCTTTTGTCATTGAAGAATTTAACTACTTTTATTAAGTGTATTTATATTTCTTTATTATTTATATAATTTATTTATGTATAATATATACTTTTAAAAAAATTTACATTAATATCGTATTCAGTATCCGCACTCGTACCTAGTACTAATATCATATCTGTATTCACACAACGTGTGATTTATGCAACAAATATAACCATTGGGTTATAAATTGATATTATATTTAATAATTAACGATTGACATTATAAATGCATGAAAATGAAGCTAAAAAAAGAAAATGAGATGTGAAAGGGGGTATTATTAAATTAGCTATGGTTACCACTCGAAAACCGAACCCATTATTTAATAGTATAATATTTATTTAATTAAACTCGTAGAGACAAAACAAAATTCCTCGTGACCGGACAACATTTACATGACATTGCTTTCTTTTTGCATCGCCATTAGGGTTTGCACTTTGCAGGTCCCTTCTTCTCCTCGCACGTGTGATTCATGCGTTTTCTCAATTCCCTTTCAGTAATCTCACCGTTCGTGCGACGTGGTATGATTATCTTGTTTCTCCCTTTAATGTGCTCTGCACTATTCATGCGCTTTTCGGGTTTCTTGTTTTTGTGAATTAGGAATTTGGTGGAACTGGGATGCTCGATTTGGGGGATTTTGTTTTCAGGAAAAATAATATTAATGAGTTATGTAATGTGTGCTGTGTGCTCTGTTTTTTGCTTCATGGGTGGGACGGTTTGGTTTTCTTTTGATTATGTGGGAAATAGAAGGAAACGTGGGAGCTGCATCTTGGTTTATGATTCTTGGTAGTGTGATTGCTAATGAAGTAACGTTTTGGGGGGAAAAATGCTGTTTTAAATTATAGGCTTAGCTGAGTAATTTGTTATTGTTTTATAAGGAGGGTTTGCTATTTTCATGTGCTCTTGTAGTTTGTTTGTTGGTTAGCATGAAGTATCTTGCCTGTGTTTTTAATTGAGTGCATCGGATCCTCTCCTTTTTTTTTCCACCTTTTGAGTGGATTGTGGTTGAATTGAATCTGGATAACTCCATCTGCGTTGGCATTGGTTCCCTGCATGGTTTCGACTTGTTTAGTTGTGGAGCAAGGTGCTTCATCAGACTGTTATTTGCAAATGGTCAGTTTTCGTTGTTGGTGAGAATTCTAATGCTAGCGTCATTCAGCCAAATGCCTATTTAAAGGGTAAAATTGCAGTGAAGCCTTTAGTATATGCCATTGTTAAAGAGTTTAGCTTTTCTGAATTTTCCTTTGCTGGATTGAAGTGATATCTAAAATTATATGAAAGTTTGGGTTTGGCATTTAATTAATATACTTTTGGTATTATTTCAGCTGAAAATGATAATATATTGTGGGTTACATTCACTAAAATTGTAACTAGGGATTCAGTTCATTCACTGAGGAGTATGTTGTGAGTAAATGTGTCGTATATTATAGCTGCATCAAATTCCACTCAATGTGTATAAGTGTATTAATAGACTGAGGAAAGGTGGAGTTTGTACGAGTGTGTCAGAAAATATGTATTCCCTGCATTGAAATAATTGCGTGCTGCCTTAAAATTTTTGCAAGCATTGGACACTGTAAGTTTTTGCATTACTATGATATATCTTTCCTTGATTTAAAGTGTTATGAGTTTCTTATGAGCTGATCCTCATTTTAATTTCTATACTTTGGTCTTTGGTCTAAGTTACAGACAAGCTAATAAATCAGTAATATTTTGAAATATTTTTGGATGATTAAAAGCAGTGGAGATCAGCAGCCTCTAATTTAGCACCTGAAGTAGTGCCATTAATAAATTATTTTTCTCATGTGTACATGAGTATCATAAATTTCTTTAACCTTTGGGAGGGATAGTTATTTGAGGTGGGGTTGACCAATGGTCAGGCATATGACGATTTATGTTAAGATTCAATTCTAAAGGATATTACAAAGATGCGAACATGGAACTTGTTTTTGGTTGATGATTACAAGTACAGATGTACATGATATGATATAGAGACAAGTTCATAATAATGCACTTTACCACTTGGCTAATTCTCATTCCGAATGCTGTAGTGCTGATCCAGTTTGGCATGTCCGTGACCTAATCTCTTGTTTCTTTAATATCATTGACATAGTGAAATGAGCCCTAGGGAAAATTTTACTGGTCAGGTCCTTATTACATAGTTGAACATGCAATCCATTTTGGGAGAATGGAGCTTGCCTGACCTTATAGTCTTTAATACACAATAAGGACATTAAGAAGGGTGGTCAGTCAGTCTAGAAGATTTATGCTAGGATATAATTATGGATCATGAACTTAACCTGCATTCACTTTGTACTGTGTTAAGAGTTAAGACCAATGAAAACAGTAGTTCAGTTTACCGTTAGGATTGCAATTACCGAATGACTTAATTTGATCTGTTGTCCATAAAATACTGATAGTCCATCTTGATAATTATCTTACCCCTTGCACAAATGCACTGTTTTAGTAAAGCACAAGCATTCTCCCCTGCACACATGCCCTCTGACACACATGTGAGAACAAATAATTCATTTTGTTGTATGAGTTAGTACTAATTTGGTTGCAGATTTAGTATGTGTGTGTATGTAGAGTGTATTTTTGCTTATGTTGCCTCCATAGATTGAAAAATAAACTCACATCAAGCTACTCTTTCTTCAGGTATATTGGAATTTCACTTGGATTCTAATTGATGCATTCACACCGTTAGCAGTTGGTCCCCAATTCCAAGATGAGCAATTCTCACTCTGCAAATCATGCAAGTGGTTCATTCTTTATAATTTCATCAATTACTTGTCAGTAGTAGCCTAGTTGGTCTGAAAGATACAATCTACCTGCAGGATGAAGCAACTGTGGTGGGATTTGAAGTTCCAAAATCCCCTGATTCCAGTTACAATAATGTCTACCCTGGAAATGAAGATGAGGCAAGGGATCCACCTGTGGTCCCCTCACATCTGCAACACACTTTGCTCAATTATCCTGCAAGTAGAGACACTGCAGGAACGCTCCCATTGCCTCAGAATGTGATTCTAAATCATCTTTACATCGAGAATAGAGAGCCTCCAAGATCTGTGGTGGCTTTGGGATTCACTCATCGTTTCCGTTCTAAATATGTTACAGTCGTGCTTTACAAACCAGTTCAAAGAAGGGGAAATACAAGCATTTAATGTGCATATTAAAAACCTTGATCACCGATGGTTTGTAATGATTTATTGTAGACTCCATAATCCAATTATTGGATATGATATTTTAATGAACTTTAGATTGTTTCTGGAATTCTGGTGACAGCTGTACTTTTATATGTAAATTTGTTTTAACGTTGTGTCTACAGGTTATAAACATTTTGAGTTTTGGGTGGTGGTTAAATGGATAGGATGGTAATGTGGGGATTTAGAATGACTCAGACACTTGCATTACATACTTAAAAAGAATGGCAAGTAATAAGGTTTTTTTTTTTAAAAACTATCTTTTTTATGTAATAAATATTTTATTAATAGAAAGCTATTGTTTTGAAATGTTTAGTTATTACAAATTGCTTAACATCGGATTTCAATCTATAAAATCCGAAATGCTAATTTTTGCAAAAGTTTTTTTAATCATATTCAAAAATTAATAACTTATAAAAGCAAATCGAAATGCATTTCTGCGAAAATAAAAGGTAAATCAAATTTTGTTTAAGAAAATTGATATTTAAATGGGCATCGTTTGTGTGAGTGCTGTCTCATTATCCATGTGCTAATTGCTTCTATTTTAATTTTTGGTATTTTTAAAGTACCTCGGAATTAGGATAACTAGATAAGAATTTAAAGGCTAATATATCTAAATCATTTCCCTTCCATTAAATTGCTATTAAATGTGCTATATATAAATTTTTTTAATTGATAGTGCTTTGATTTCATGTACAACTTTAACCCAACTTACTATTTTTATTTAAATACGTCCCTTTATTAATTGTTTTTAACCAAACTTGTATTTCGTACAGTTAAACATAATGCTAGGATGATATACAGAAAGAAAACTGAGATACCGTGTACTTCTTTATATAATCAACAAGTATTATTGTTGAACTATACAATTAAAATTAAATTGGTACATGATTGAAGTGAAATAATTAAACATACATCATTTAATTTAAGTGTGTAAATTGAAGGCCATGTGCTTTCACTTTAATAAAAAAAATTCTTTTAGTCTCTTTCTTATCTTGAAAATAGTAGCAAACCAAATTCGCAGACAAAAGAAAATTGGAGAGGCCAAATTGGTAAAATGACAATAGTAAAAAGACAAAAGTGTAATTAAGTACAGTAAAAATAAAGTCTCGGATTTAAAATACAAGAACTAGGGATGCTTACGTAGCTATTTTATCAAAATTCTAAAGAAGGGTCCACATGAGTTTCTCTTAGATTATTTCTCATAATCATTTACATTTAATTTATTCTCTACGTATTTCTGGCCGTAGAAAAAGGAAGAAAGTACACAAGTATCTGCATAAACATTCTTGTCGATCCTTGTAATAAGGTTGATAAATACAAGTTCTTATAAAATTGAAAAGGTCTTGTAATGTACGGTGAGTTTACAAGTTCTTGTGAGTATATTTTTAATATTTATAAGTGGCCCTTATTTTAATTTAGTCGTCACATGAATAACATGATATTTTAGTTGAGTCTGGAATATTGTTATAAGTCTGTTTATTATATTCTTTTTTGTGAGACATCTATAAGAGTTATGACTTAAAAAATGCAATAACGATAGTGATTAAAAAAATTATGTTAAACTAAAAACACTAAAAAAATTAAAATAAATAAATATAAGGACAAAATATTTATTTTATAATAATTATAAAGACTAATAAAATAAAATAAATAAAATTATAGCTACTAATTATTTTTAACCATAACAAAAATCGAACCGGAAATAAAAATATAGTATACTCTAGTGAAAACCTAATAATATAAAAAGTTGTACGGAAAAGTTATAGGCTAATTAATTTAGTGTAGGAAGGTAGGTAATAATGGTCTTGAATAATGGAAAGAACCCTAGGATCTCCTTAAAGGGTGGGTTATGTATTGTACGGTATATATAAAGAGTTAATCATTTATATATTGTCAGTATAAAATTTTTTATATTGATAATTAGTTAGAACGGTTAATAGTATTTTTTTTATTTTAATTTAATAAATAAGTAGATAAAAATGTACTATTAACGACTCTAATTAACTGTTAGTGTCACTATAAAAAAAAATTTATATTGACAATGTATAAGTGATTAACTCATATATCAATGCTTTCTTTTCTGTCCCCATTAATCATACTACATTCATTTCACTACAAAATAGAAATTGAAATGAGTGTATATTTAAAAGAATTTGAAGGGATGATTTTTGGTAAATGTGAAAGCCACTTTTATATTATATATGTTAATATTATTGTTTGACTTGCAACTTGCTTTGCTTTGGCAGGCCCAAATAAGGGCCCAGACCCAAAGTTGTTAGCAAAGGAGCAACAACTTTTGCTCTACAACTTGCCAACTATCTGGATTACATCACTTAAGTTCTGTTTTTTAATATGAATTAACAAATTTCGTCAAATGTTGTCACACACTTGGAAGCACAAGTGCAAATAATGTATCAATATAATAAGTAAATAACTCCATGTGTCGTGTCACTATCTTAAAAAATTAATCTTACTTTTATTATTATTATTATTAATTTGCTTCCATTACTAAGTTCTAACAAATTGCATGGATTTTTCTATAATATTATGTAATTATTGAATTTGACTTTTCTAAAATAAGGAATTTATTTTATAGAAAACAAATTAAAAGTTATATAAGTTTAAGAACCACTATTGGATAAGTTTATCTGATTGCTCCAAATCCTGTTCTCGTTTTTCATTTCTTAGTGAATTGTGATAGTAGTTAGTCGTGAGAAAATAACATCCTCAAAACACAGCATTTAAATTTTTCGTTGCTTTATGTTAGAGCTAATTAAAATAATTGAGTTAAAAAATTGTATATGGGAGTGAGATAAAAGCAACACGCTAGAATGATAAGGTTTTAATTAATGTTCCCGGTAATTATTAATAATCAATTCATCTTTTATATATATATATAGGAGGGTTCAAACGACACCGATGTAACTTTTACTAAGTGTTACATCACTCAATAATTATATATTAATTTTGAATTTTGAAAATCTAACCGTTAGATTGAAAGTTCATATCTCTTAGATCATATATGTCAAATTTTGTTAAATTTGAACCACAACTTGAAGGTAAACAATGTGTTCATATTTTAGTAATTTTGAAATGAATATATTACGTCAATTTTGTTTTATGAGAATGAAGTATCAAATAATCTTGGGTTAATATAAAATTTTGTATATATGATCTAAGAGATATGAACTTTCAATCTAACGGTTGGATTTTCAAAATTCAAAATTAATATATAATTATTGAGTGGTATAACACTTAGTAAAAGTTACACCAGTGTCGTTTGAACCCTCCTCATATATATATATAAGAATTACAAAAGGGTTCGAATTCAAGGGTGGACCTATGTGTTGTACTAAGGGGTCATACCCGTTGAATTTTTTTTTTTAATTTCTAAAATTGTTAAGTTTTATTATTTATTTAGGATTTTTAAGAAGTAAAATATTATTTTACTTAATTTTCTTCCACTCAAAATTTTCTCTATCCTATACTACTTGTAAATAATTCGGGATCCCATACCTTTCTCATTAGCTCAATTAACAAAGACTTTTAACAATTATAATTCTTATTTTTTTAAGTACATTTAATGTGTCACACAAGTTACACATATCAAGACTTTTGAGATTTATTCAATTTTTTCGTGTTTTTTACTTTTTAAATATTTTTTTATTTATTATAATAATAGAATTTATTATTGTTATTTTATAATTGTTGCATTACAAAATTTAAGGTACACACTCCTGCATCACTCAAAGTTTTTTATTTTATCTTATTTCCCCCTAATTATATACTAAAAAATATATAAATAATAAAAAAGACAAATCCAAAAATTAAAAAATTTTATTATATAATTTTTTCTACAGAAATTTTGTTATATTATTTAATCAAGTTTATATATAGTTTTTTTTTATTTTATAAATTTGTTAACATATATATTTTTTTATGCATTTTTTAAAGAAAAAAATATAAAAGTCAAATATTTAATAAATGAGGAGGGTTCAAATGACATCGGTGTAACTTTTACTAAGTGTTACACCGCTCAATAACTTTATATTAAATATGAATTTTGTAAATATAACCGCTAAATTGAAAGTTTTTTACTCTTAGATTATATATACAAAATTTTATATTAATTCAAGATGATTTGATACTTCATTCTTATAAAATAAAATTGACGTAATATATTTATTTCAAAATATACTAAAATATGAACACTTTGATTACCCTCAAGTTGTTGTTCAATTTTAACAAAATTTAATATACACATATAAAGTGATATGAATTTAACATATAATTTTTTTGTTATGTATTTCTTTATACAAAATAAAAATAAAGATAATTTTAAATAAGATGGAAATTGAAATTTAAAGTAGGATATGAATTTATTGAAAAGTATAAAATATATTAACATGAATATTTTTTATAAAAAAAATAGTAAAAATTGGATTATGTGGTTCAATTAGTGATTTATCGATTCAACCATTGACCTACTGATCAAGTACTCTAACTGATTTGATGACCGGTCCAATTTTTAAAACTATGCTTCAACAACCACCTAATTATGGGTCCAATCAAATTTAATGAGACATATGATCAATATTTTTAATTTATATAAAAAATGAATAATACTTATTAATCATGTATTATACACGGAATGATTAGTTAAGAAGACAGTGATGCACCTTCAATTGGGAGTCTTGGATATGGACATATTCTACCTATCAAACTAAATGGATAAGTTCCCTTCTCCAATTCGACTCTATGTGAATGACAATCCTAAGAATGAAATTCAACAGGTAAACATGAAGTTGTTCATTGGTTAAGAAACACCAAAAAATTATATATTATACAGAGATGTTCTGCTTCCTATTACTATGGTGATGTGTATTTTTTTAAACTGCAACAATTACAAGATTGAGGTATATCTATTTTTTTTCTATGTAGTAAAAACAAATTAAAATACCTTTTTAATGAACTTAACAACTATAATTGTGTGGGTGAGGGTCACATGCCACCTTTTGAAAGGTTTTCTTAGTGAGAGTGATGGTAGAGTCACCATTGCGAGATATAGATAAATCTCTAAATGAAATTCACGAACAAGATACCCGTGCAATACCATATTGCACACCATTTAATAGAACTCAAAATGAGCATCTATATTATTTGTGTTATGTTCCAATTCCAAAGCTTGACTAAGAGAGATATATATGACTCAAGATAATCATGTCTATTTTCCTCGGACAAAAGTTCATTGCATTAGGCATAAAGTTCAAACTTAGAAAATTCCTTGTATCGAAAAAAAATAATGTCTTGTCCCATTAAAATTATTTTTTTTAACTTTTTCATATATTTTGATTCTTTATTTAAATTTTAAATTATTGAAGAATCGTTGAAAGTTTTATTATAATTTAAAATTTAATTAAATATATTTATTTAATTACTTTTTTGTTACAATATTTTAGTTATTTATTTATCTTTTTAAAATATGTTAAGGTTTTAATATTTTTAATTAATTTTATTAATAGTTTTTAAGGATTAAGTCCGTTATGGCTTATTAGTTTGACCATGTCATTATAATGCTCAAATGTTACTATTTGGTTAGTTGTTAGACATTGTATGTTCTGTTTTGGACGTTGATAGGCTTGTGGTGTGCAATACTGTGTAGTCTATAAATGTTTGCTTTGGAAAAAGATATAACAAACTATGAAATACTATTTGTTCACCTTTGAAATTATTTTTGTAATAAAATTGTTTTCTTCTTTTTTAGCGATATTTTTTTACGAAGATCTTTCGTCGCATATAATTAATCTAATTGGTTGTCGTATATATCTTGGGAGATAATCATATTATAATTAATCTACCAATGTAATGAGAACATTTTTTCTTTAAAAATAATGCTTAGTGTACTTCAACTCAAATTTTCCTAAACTCTTATCTTATTTATTTTAGTCTTTATTAATTTAATTTATCATTTGTTAATATTGATTGATGTTCATCAATGTTCATCTTGAAGTAATTAATAAATAGTATATCTTTTATTTTTTATTTTCATGGTTCTAACATAAATTACTCAATCTTATAAAATTGACTTATAAAATGATGATTACATCTTATTTACATATTATAATGACTATATTACTAGTCAATATGAGATCTTTAATATCCCTCAAGTTAAGGACAAGACTAGACATACATCTAATAGTAGGTGATACGATTAGCTTAACAACAATTATTAGAATAAATTTTAATATCATCTCAAGAAAACAAATTTTAAGTTTAACTTAATCTTACAAAATAAAAAATTTTATTCACTTATAACTTGGTCAAATCCTAACCTGTGTTTCACCGTGCTTTATTTCATTGTCTTTACTCACATACTTCTAGCTAGACATAATATTTTTTAAGTAATAAATTACAAAAAGTAGTTATATCTTATTAGTATAAATAATATTTTTCTTTAAGTCATCATCAAATTTAGACTCCTCTTATACATACATATCTCCATATTAATATGATATTATTTAATTTGAACCTAAATTATAATAAATTTACTTTTAGTTATCATCCAAAATTTTTCATACATATCAATAAAGACATTTTGTGTATTTATAAACTCGTATCAATTCTTTCAATGTAAGTTTGATTGTATTCCAACACCTTATAATTAATGACAGATATATGTAACTAAGCATCTGAATCATATGTGAACCTTTGAGATATACCACGGGCTCTTTGTCATATATATGTATATATATGCGGCGAAATGGATTGCGTGAAATTAATGAAGGCAGCCATTGGGAATCTGATTGGCTCTAATTAGCGAATTGTCAACGACATCCCCACTATAAATACAGCACACTCCTTGTTGAAAATTCACAACTTCACCAAGCTCTTTCTCTTTAATTTCCTTACTCAACACATAATAAGTCGAAATGGGTGATATTGAGGGATCTCCAGGAAGCTCCATGCATGGAGTAACAGGAAGGGAACAAACCTTCGTAGCCTCAGTGGCTTCCCCTACGGTCCCTACAGACACCACAGCAAATTTCGCTCTACCAGTGGACTCTGAGCACAAAGCCAAGGTCTTCAAACTCTTCTCCCTCGCCAACCCTCACATGAGAACCTTCCACTTGTCATGGATATCCTTCTTCACATGCTTTGTCTCGACCTTCGCAGCAGCCCCTCTTGTCCCCATCATTCGCGACAACCTCAACCTCACCAAAGCCGACATAGGCAACGCCGGCGTGGCCTCCGTCTCCGGCAGCATCTTCTCCAGGCTCACAATGGGTGCAGTCTGTGACCTTCTCGGCCCTCGCTATGGCTGCGCCTTCCTCATCATGCTTTCTGCGCCCACCGTGTTCTGCATGTCGTTTGTGAACGATGCTGCAGGCTACATAGCGGTGAGGTTCATGATAGGGTTCTCCTTGGCCACCTTTGTGTCGTGCCAGTACTGGATGAGCACCATGTTCAATAGTAAGATCATAGGGCTTGTGAATGGGACTGCTGCAGGGTGGGGGAACATGGGTGGTGGGGCCACTCAGCTCATAATGCCTTTGGTCTATGAGTTGATCAAGAGAGCTGGGGCTACACCCTTCACTGCATGGAGGATTGCCTTCTTTGTACCTGCTTGGTTGCATGTCATCATGGGGATCTTGGTCCTAACCCTAGGCCAGGATTTGCCTGATGGCAACCTTGGTGCCTTGCAGAAGAAGGGTGATGTTGCCAAAGATAAATTCTCCAAGGTTAGCCTCCTTAATTCTTCTGTGTTTGAGGGCACAATGAATGTCTTAAATTTCTTGAGATGTAAATGATTTGTGAAAATGTTTTCAATGATGTTTTTAGTTCCCAAAACAATTAATTTTTTTATTTTGTCAATGATTTTTAAAATATTAGTTTTAATTCTTATATTATTTTAAATCAATATTAAAATTTGGGTCTCTCTATAGGAAAAAGTGTTAGCTTTAGATGTTATAGGAACAGAAGCTATTGATTTAAAAAATTTAGAATAAAAACCCAATTTTAGAAAAATGTCAACGCTAAAAATACCATTATTCATATTAACAATTATATTTATTACATTTTTTTATTTTATTCCCTTTTTTAAGTAGTTATAGAAAAAATAATAATATTGTTCTCATTATTTTTTTTCGGTAAATATTTACAAATTGGAGATTGAATGAAAATAATGTGATATTTTTAGTATCTATTATTAAAATAGAAAATGAAAACACAAGAAATTTTTCCTTTGTTTTCCAGGACCATCAAAAATTAAATCAGGCAAAGTTTTGGAAGAAAACAAAATAAAGCAATTATTAACTCATTCACTCATTTGGTTTCATTTTGTGTACAGGTGTTATGGTATGCCATAACAAATTACAGGACATGGATTTTTGCCCTCCTCTATGGATACTCTATGGGAGTTGAATTAACCACCGACAATGTCATTGCTGAGTATTTCTATGACAGGTAGTTCAGTTCATGATTAACAAACTTAATGGCCTCAAAGTTTAATTTTACGTACATAATCATATAACATCGCACTTGCAAAGAAATTGATAAGCATGTTAGTGATGTAAATAATCCATCACTTTTAACTAATTTTCATCACAGAACCTAGTCAGTTACTTTAAAGTCTTCCTCTCAATCACGTTTTTTTTTTTATCCATAAGTATTGAATCCAAATTTTCTTTGGGAAACTGAGTCCTGTTCTATTTATACCAAGGATTTTGGCTATAATGAACAATATAACTAATCAGTTAACTGATATAAAACAGGTTCAATCTGAATCTACACACTGCTGGAATCATTGCTGCTTCATTTGGAATGGCAAATCTGCTGGCTCGCCCCTTCGGTGGATACACTTCAGATGTTGCAGCCAGATTGTTCGGCATGAGGGGCAGGCTATGGACTTTGTGGATCCTCCAAACCTTAGGAGGTGTTTTCTGCATATGGCTTGGACGTGCCAACTCACTTCCCATTGCAGTCTTGGCCATGATCCTCTTCTCCATCGGTGCTCAAGCTGCATGTGGTGCAACTTTTGGCATCATTCCTTTCATCTCAAGGCGTTCTCTGGGGATCATATCAGGCCTAACTGGTGCAGGTGGAAACTTTGGGTCTGGCTTGACCCAGTTGATCTTTTTTTCAACCTCGAAGTTCTCCACAGCAACAGGTATCTCCCTCATGGGTGTCATGATCGTGTGTTGCACTCTTCCTGTCACTCTTGTTCACTTCCCTCAGTGGGGTAGCATGTTCCTCCCTCCTTCGAAAGATGTCAACAAGTCCACTGAGGAATACTACTACACCTCTGAGTGGAATGAGGAAGAGAAGCAAAAGGGCTTGCACCAGAATAGTCTCAAGTTTGCTGAGAATAGCCGTTCTGAGAGAGGTAAGCGTGTGGCCTCAGCCCCTACACCACCAAACACAACTCCATCCCATGTCTAGCTTCAACACTTTAAGAAGTGAAGAATTCTCCACAAAAGTCAAGTTTTAAGGCTATGCATGACTATAAGGTATAACTACTGCTGTAGAAAATACCACCAATAATGAGGCACAACCTAATGGAATCTCAGATTGAATAAGTTACTTTTCTTTTAACAAAAAAACGTTGAAAGATAATGATTCTTGCACTTTAGAATTTTGGTGTAGTTTAATGTACACCAATTCCTATACTTAAGTAGGATTTGGTTTATACGTGGTTAATATATGCAAGAATCAATTATGATTATCGAAAAAAAATAGGATGTAAAAGAATAATAATGTATTGTGTTTTGAATTTTGGCGTGCAATTGATATATATATATATATATATATATATATACACTCATCTTATGATGTGTACGTATTGAATATTCTGGCTTGTTCGGCGTGGACAATAGAGAACAAAATGCAGATTCAGGATGGGGAGTTGTTAGCTGGTGATTATGTCATAATTCATTACGAATACGTCAACGCAGATCTCGATGGTGGGTATTCTAGTTTAAGTTGATGACGTTTGATTAGTAGAATGGAATCAGTAATTAAATTGATATACTAATTCCTCAACTCAATTATTGTAGATTTGTTTAAGATAAGTTGCATAGTCTGACAAACACAATGTGATGCCAATAATATATATAACATTAATTAATAAACTTTTGACTTGGGTTCCGTGTGAACTGCAAAATGTTGCATACGTTGCATTGCACGTTTTGCAAATTTTATTTCTGCTTAGATGGGTTACATGCTTACGTCTGCTATAGAAAAAGAATGGTAACCACTAACTGTCGTATGCTGTATGCTACTTCCTGTTTCAATCAATTCCATGTTCTTTGGATGGCAAATACTAACTTTAGTATTTGACAATGTGAAGAGCGAGACAAACTACAAGTATGATATATGTTTGTGAGCCATTGTCTGTTTTTGGGTACGCAGATAAATTATTATACTTTTTCATTCCAATAGAGAAGACAAACGCAACAAGCACAGCATAAGCTAACAAATTGAAACAACTGTACTCAAATAAGAATGCTCACAAATTTCATTCCTCTATTTACTAATTTTATTGGAATAATTCGGTTATGTACATAAAACTGAAGCTTTCGTCACATCAAAATCTTAGGATGAATGAATGTGGAATAACTTAGATTTTACTTTTTGTTACCGAAATATAATACCTTGAGGTGCTAAAATTCATTTAAGAGACAAACATCTTCCAACTTGCTATTTTATGCACACAGATATGAGGATTAAATATATTTAAAGGGTATGGTTATATGGCGACTATATATCATGTATGTAAATAACTTAGATTCTTGGGCAGGCTTTAGGTTCAATTTATTGAAATAAAATTTGAGTCATTTTAGCTTTATTTAATGGTTCTGATTTTCTGACTATGAGAATGTTAAAATAATCGACCGTAGGAAATTTGGATCCCAGGACAGAGTAAGGCGTCAGTTTCCTATAATTTTGGTGCGTAAGTTTTGAATAGTATACTGTTCTATTCTGTTATTTGCATCCATTCTTGTTATGTACTTGTAGATTTCCATATACGTACTATGCTGTGTTATCTTTAATTATGTAATTATTTGTGGTCTATGCTCAGTTGTTTATTATTTGATAACCCAAAGGGAAAAATCTCAGAAATATCAAGAAAAATAAACATAAGAACATAAATGAGAACTCATCTTCAATATTTTTATAAGGAAAAGATACTTGCAAAAAACATGGTACTGCATAATCTGAATTCTTAAAAAAGTTATATGGGATCAGGGTGTTATGCAAATAGCAATACTCTTTTCACAAATATTGTTGACCGTAAATAAAATTCAAATCCTATTGTATCTAGAACCTACATGATCCGTTTAAACTCAACACCTTTTTAGTTCCGGAAATGCTACAAAAGTATGCTATACTCAGCCATTGAAATTCATATACACAAAATATTTGCTTCATGCAGAGTAGGTCAAGGAAAACAAGTGATGTAAATCACTCATCAGCTTGAGTTCATTATGTTGCCTCATTCTAAACAGTGATTTCAACAAGAGCATGTGTAATGCTGATGAACTTTCTTTGAACTGTGTAGACAACATGTAGTGCTAAACTAGTAACTTAACTTCCCAGTGCCACCACAGGTTGAACAGGATCGACCAGAAGAGCACTTTGTACAATAGCTCCACTTCTTTGGAAGCCTGGTATAAATAATTGAGTTGAATGGCTAAACTCAAAAATTAAGGATTTGTTTGCATAAACTTCTCTAAAAACATTTTTAGGAGAAATTTTTTATAAAAAAAAACTAAAATAAGTTTCTCAGTAAGTTAAAACTTATTTATGTATGTTAATTTTTTTTTTTTTGAAGAAACTAATATAGAAGAACTTTTATAAATTAGTTTATGTATAAACTAATTTTAATTTATAAAGAAAATTATTTCATTTTTTCTTATTCTTTTCTCCTAAAAGTACATTTAGAAAAGTTTATCCAAACATATCCTAGATATTAAAGGAAAATACATATGAGAAAATCATACCCGGCCGTGAATCGAGTTGCCATATTCTTAGCTTGAACTCTTGCCTTCTCAGCACTTTCATCAGAACGTTTCCTAAGAACAAATCCTTCACCTTTGCATTCAGAACATATACCAGAACCTCCACAATCTTCACAGGCTTTGAATTGAATCTTTAATTTCAAGAGAAGAACTTAATTTAGATAAACAGTTAGAATTTCAGTACATAAACACAATTTAATCACTGTTCTTTTTTTCTTGCCCAATTCTGGCAATAATGGCATCAATGAATGATCTATGCTATCTTAAAAAAATGAAGTGAGAAGCATAAACCAACTTGGAGAATGCAATTACCAAGTTGTCAAATGACATGAAAGATCAACATTATTAATTTTTAATTGTTCCAAGAACTTTCTTTAGTAAAACAGAATTAGTACTTGAACAATAGAAGCATTCCAAAGATTATCATGTTCTTGCTTGGAAAAAGCAAGCTGGTTTTGTTAGTTACTGACCTGTGTTGACTCAGACGTTTTGGATCTCTTTACAAGAAGAGTAGCTGCTGCTCCAACAACAGTTACAGCAACTGCCATTGAAGCTGCAGTCTCAGCCAGTGCAGAGGAAACTGTGGATATTCTCCTTCTTTGCAATTGTAACTTCACATCTATTCAAGGAATCAAGTGATGAGACTAGCAAATACAACTTTCCCTTTCTATTTTACATCATCAACACCCAGATAGCCATAAAGCATCACAAGCATAAAATTACAAAGATCTTTTAAATTTCTGTAATATTAATTATTAACAGTCAATGCCATCAGAAAAGGAAATGGGCCTACAACAAATTTAGCACAGTGAGTGTCTTGATGATCATTACAAGCAAGCCTTTTCAAGTAAACATAGTAGTTTCCAATTGAAACTCAATGTTGTGTTTTTCTAACATGTATTAAGTTGTGTTTATTCTTGTTTTTCTATCTTAATAGTTGAGACCAAACTCTAAATTCCCTTAACAGTTGGCACAAATATTCGTGTTGATATGAAAATGGTGAACGTGAACTACACCAACCCACAAAGAATTGGAACGGTGGTTCCACCGAACAGAATAACCGCTAAGTAAAAACACACCCTTCAACCCACACCAAAATTAACTAACTACTTGGTATATGAAATTTCATATAAATAAATAAATGAGCAAGTACGAGAAGCCAGGGTTGATGAGAAATAATTTTAGATTTTAGAAGCATAATAATAGTATCTATTTAATTTGCGAAAATAAGAAGAAAAAAATCTTACTAGTGTGAGTCTGAGAGAAGCAGGGAAGTGATACAGTTACAGCAAGATCCATTTAGATAACTGTCCTCTTCTGTCCACTCTATTTCATTCCTTATCGTCTTCCCTTCTTCCCTTTCTAAAATTATTTTCCAAAATATTAATGTTTTCTGATTATTGTTGATAGCAAAATATGTCTAGTATTTTTTTTTTATCACTTTCCATTTCGTTATTCATCTCGTTCTATTTTTTTCTCCCTCTGGTTTTTTTTATTTATAATTTTAATCTTTCAAAATGATAAATTTAATTATAATTGAAAATTAATAAATACTTTTAAATTTTGGAATATATATTAAATTTATGATACATAATTTAAATTATTATATAAAATTATTTTAAAATTGAATAGATATGTGATAAAAAAAATATGGATAAAAATAAAATAAGAATAATTGAAAACTTAAAAAAAATTTAAGTTTAATACATCATTTCATACATGAACTTTTTAAGATTTTTTAATTAGATCTTTAAGCTGCAAAAATTTCTAATTAAGTCCTTCAATTTTTTATTTATTTTGTAATTAAGTTCTTATAATGTGGAATTTGTGCAAAAAAAATTTGGCAAGAACTTTTTTTTTTCCTTGCTAAAGTATCTTTTAGTTTATTGAACTAAAGTTAATTTAACTTGCAGTAATATAATTGTCACTAATTTAACGATTTTTTTACACATGAAAAATATTAAATACAAATTTTTTACTAAATAAATTGCTCCATAATTAACGTGTCTTACCAGCCCATCGCGTTAGACCTCGCAATAATTAAGATGAGAAAGTGAAATTTCTACGAAACATGGGAGAGAAAGTGAAAAATAAACTCTGTACATTAAATTTCTACGAAACATGCGACACAAGTTGTGTGTTTAATTAACTTTATTGTAAAGAATGTGTATATACGAGTATAGGTGAATAAATTTACAATATTAACTTGTTTTCAGCCTCATAAAAATTCCTTATGGGGTTAATTTCTTTAAACTTTCATGTGTGGATAAAAACCATCACTACAACAAAATTGGCATATAGTGATACACACCCTACAGTGACATTATATATGTTACTAAAAATTATTTTTACTCACACAATAATTACAATATATGTTAGTATATTATTAAAAAAATATGGGTATAGATTATAGTGACATACAAAATATGTTGTTAAATCTCATCCAAAATCAACACTAAAATTGTGTGTAACTATATGTCAAATAGACATATACATATACATATATATATTGTACCTATAGTGACACTTTTTGTATGTCACTATATGTAACATTTGTTGTAGTGAAATGAGGAAGGTAAAATAAGTAAACTAAATCATTAATTAAGAGATTATTTGTTAAAAATTTAATGCATGTAAGATTTATTGTGTATTATGTATGTACATATAAAATTAATTATTTTTATTAATAACTTAAATTAAACAATGAAAAGAACTACTGTAACGTAGCAAGTTGTTTCAGAAGGCCCAAAAGCCCAATATGGGTGATTTAGTAACCCAGAACGGGTCGTTCCCAAACTGGAACGGACCGTTCCAAACTATTAAATTGACTTGTAAAACGTAGTTGAGAACGGGCCGTTCCAAATCCCAAAATGGGGCGTTCTGGAGGGAGAACGGGTCGTTCTGGATGGAGAACGGGCCGTTCTGGATGAGTCCCAGAACGGGCCGTTTTTATTTCAGAACGGGCCGTTTTGCATGTGATTTTTGTACATGATGAAGGGGTGCAGAACGGGCCGTTCTGGATTCGGAACAGGCCATTTTGGCTATTTTGACAACATATTAAGGTGAGGGAAGCTAGAATGTAGGTTGTTTAATTTCAGGAGAGTCAGGGAAGCTTTATGCATGGTGTTCTTTTGTTGAAATAGTTGAGTTGTTAGGTACTTAAGTTGATTTATGTTGTTTATATTATGTAAGTTGATATGATAGATGAATTTTAAATATGTTGTATATTACTGAAGTTGTTTATAAAGTTGTTAAGTTGCATTAAGTTGATATTGTAATGACTATAGTTGTTTAATTAAGTTGTTTGCATGTTGTTAAAATTATTAAAGTTGCATAGTTGTATGATTGAATAAGAAGTTGTCAAGCTGATATATAATGCCTATTGTTGTATTGTTGTAAGTTGTCTATTGTTGCTAAGATGCCTATTGCTGTAAAGTTGTTAAGATGTCTATTGCTGAAAAGTTGTATGTTGTTTAAATTGTTAAGCTGATTAAGCTGTGATGATGAGTTGTTGATCACTAGGACTAGGGGAGATGTTTTCGAAGTTGCTCATCCCATTGTGTGGATTGAGATAGTTGTGGTGCTCTAAGAGCCCAATTTGTTGAAAAACTCTCCTTGGGAAGTTGTCCCTTGGAGTGGACGTTGTGTTGTTCTCCTCTGGGACTTAGTTGATCCCGTGTGTGGGCAAGGTCGAGGCACACGTGTACAAAGCGACCACGGTATAGGGGCCAGGCCGAACTATACCATTTACAAGTGGCCAGATGTTTATTGTTGTAAAGTTGTCATGGTGTCTATTGTTGTAAAGTTGAAAAGTTAGGGACATATGGTGAAGATATATGTCCTATGTTGAGATACATAGTACTAAGGTGATAAGTTGAAAGTTGTTTTGAAGATGAATCGCTTAGTACTGTGCTGGCGACATGGAAATAGTCGATCCATATTATGGTTGAATGACCAATTTGAGTAAAGTATCTAGTTAGAGATGTAGTCTCTGACTATGTACTGGAGGGTGTGCGGTACTTGGAGGTACTTGGAGGACAGTGGGTGGGCTAACTCCACATGTGGATTGGTGATGCTAGCCAAGGCTGTGGAAGGCTCATACCCAAACCCTTTTGTCCTGACAGTAGTACTAGACCTCCGAGTCTAAGTGGCACACCTGAGCAATCGCATATTATTGTCTATACCTGGTTCTCTTCGGAGTTCCTAACGTTGTTCTATACCTGACCTGGATGAGATAGGTCAAACACTGGATTCGGTAGGGTTTATGCCACCTAGACTGCTCAACCTTAGTTGTTGGAGATCTCCAAGTTGTACATGCGTGACGATGCATTAAATATTAAGTTGTATATTATTGTTGTTGTTGTTGTATTAAAGTTGCTTCTAAGTTGTATAAATGAGTTGGGTTTTTATGTTGAACTGTATGGTCGTTTATGATGATGATGGATATGCATTAATATCTGTCATGAGATACATTTATTACATGATTGATAATTGGATGATTGTGTGGTATAGACTATTGTCTGTACTTGTATGATTGATTTTTGAACTCTAGCTTACCCTTCTGTTTCCATGTGGTGGAACTGCGATGATCATACTTGGTATGAGAGCAGGTCAGGGTTAGCTTGGAGTTGAGGTGTCCGCTGCGAGATGGGGAGTTTTGATCCTCGTGGTAGAGTTACCATTTTGGGGTAACGGTTTTGTCTGTGCTTGACCGGTACTAGGGAATATTATTTTTGAGATGACTGTACATATATGGAGTTCTATTTTATAACCAGAAACTTAGTTATTTTCATTTTTATTTGTACATGTATGTATGAGTTATCCAGCTTAATATTTCTCTTAGGTTCACTAGCAGTAGTGCGATTCTACTAAGTGTAGAGACCATGGCGGGTCGTTACAACTACAAGTTGAACAATTTATTCAATAGGTGAGGCCATTTGGATCATGTTCAAGCACTATTAATTAATAGACTAAAAATGAAAGAAGCGAAATTTAATAAATATTTAAGTAATTGGTCTTATATATAAAAAAATTATTAAGCATTAATTATATATTGAATAAATATTTATTTCAATTTTTGAATTTGAAACATGTTATTAGTCTTCGAAATTATTGAATTGCCAAATTAATTTCTTTAATATTAAATAAATCTTTAAATTTAACTACTTATATATATATATATAT